CAGGGCCAACTCGGGTTCCTTTTTCGGGAGTCCGAACCCGACTTACCCCGGGCCCGAGTCACCCCGGATAACTCGGGCGTCCCGAGCCCCACATCAGGGGTGACTCGGGTCAGTGCTAACTCGGGTTCCTTTTTCGGGAATCCGAGCCCGACTTACCCGGGCCCGGGATAATTCGGGCGTCCAGAGCCCACATCATCAGGGGTAACTCGGGTCAGGGACTAACTCGGGTTCCTTTTTCGGGAATCCGAGCCCGACTTACCCCGGGCCCGAGTTACCCAGGATAATTCGGGCGTCCAGAGCCCCACATCATCAGGGGTAACTCGGGTCAGGGCTAACTCGGGTTCGTTTTTCGGGAATCCGAGCCCGACTTACCCCGGGCCCGAGTTACCCAGGATAATTCGGGCGTCCAGAGCCCCACATCATCAGGGGTAACTCGGGTCAGGGCTAACTCGGGTTCCTTTTTCGGGAATCCGAGCCCGACTTACCCCGGGCCCGAGTTACCCAGGATAATTCGGGCGTCCAGAGCCCCACATCATCAGGGGTAACTCGGGTCAGGGCTAACTCGGGTTCGTTTTTCGGGAATCCGAACCCGACTTACCCCGGGCCCGAGTTACCCCGGATAATTCGGGCGTCCAGAGCCCCACATCATCAGGGGTAACTCGGGTCAGGGCTAACTCGGGTTCCTTTTTCGGGAATCCAACCCGACTTACCCCGGCCCGAGTTACCCAGGATAATTCGGGCGTCCAGAGCCCCACATCATCAGGGGTAACTCGGGTCAGGGCTAACTCGGGTTCGTTTTTCCCCGAGTTACCCAGGATAATTCGGGCGTCCAGAGCCCCACATCATCAGGGGTAACTCGGGTCAGGGCTAACTCGGGTTCGTTTTTCGGGAATCCGAACCCGACTTACCCCGGACCCGAGTTACCCCGGATAATTCGGGCGTCCAGAGCCCCACATCATCAGGGGTAACTCGGGTCAGGGCTAACTCGGGTTCTTTTTTCGGGAATCCAAGCCCGAGTTACCCCGGACCCGAGTTACCCCGGATAACTCGGGCGCCCAAGTGGGGGGAGGGGGGAGGGCTTCCTAGAAGCACCCCTGCTTCTCAGAAGGCGCGGGGCCTCATCCACAGATGTGAGGCCACCGCCTTCCAAGGAGCAGCCTCCTTTTAAGAGTCAAGGGAGGGAAAACCACCCGGACCGGACAACTGGCGTTTATTAAATGGCCCTGGGCGTTCATTAAACAGCCTTGCCCTGTTTGATTCTTTCTTTGGGTGCGTTTACTAAACGGCTTCGCGTGTCGGGGTGTTTCTTTCGGGGTGGATTTTCTGCCCTGTGAAGAAGCCCTCCCCCCCTTCCCCCACCCCCCCTTGGTGCGCGCCGCCAAGTGATGCGAGGAGTTCAGGGCGGGTGCTCACGGCCGCCACTGCCCGCGTCGCGTGCAGCGGTCGGCCGGTCACGCGCCCAAAGCTCACGCCTTGCCAGTTCGCCGAGCTCTGTCGCCGCCGCGGCCGCTCCGCGCGCGCGCTGCGCCTGGGCACCCAGACCTAAGTCGTGCGTGTCCCTCTACAGGGGTCAAAAATAGTCAAACATCGCCTGGGGACGATTTGTCTATATGTTTACATATATTTATATATATACACACTAGAGAACAGCACTCTGGACAGCGCGCTGGCCACCATAGGATGCAGGCAGACTAGAGACAAACAGGAGATTCTCCCTGCCTTCGCTGGGCGTGGCTCGAATAACGACGCTCGGGATCTTCGGCAGGGGAGGGTCCGTCCGCCTGCTAAGTTTAAACCTCACGCCAGATACCTCGGAGCCCACTTGCACATAAATGGCAAGTTTGGGGAAGAGTTTTAAAACATTGCGAAAGGCAGTGGAACAGGCATTTTTTGCTCTCGGTAAGTTTTGGAGCTTAAAGCGTACGCCCTGGAAGGTCCGACGAGGCCTGCTCATATGCTGCGTACAAAACGCAGCTCCTTCGGGCAATGAAGCCTTCTGCCTCACGGAGGCCAACTGGCAGGAGCTAGACAAGCTCGTGGCCAGATTCGCGCGCAGAACGATGCGAGGAGTTGCCCACTCAATCGTGACAACGGCGGATGGCGAGCAAAACACAAACATATGTCGACGGCAGAGGTACTAAGATACTGGAGGATGACTGGTACCAAGCTCGAGGCACGGGTTCGACGACTGAAGCCACTTCAGAGAATAGCGAATAGACCCCATCATCACGATCGCGAACTCACGGCGATGTTCGGGAAATATCCGTTCGAAACGTACTCGGCGATTGATGGGGACGACTTGAAGCTGGGGGATCAGGTTAACCCATGGGCTCGGAGGGTAAAGGAGGACATCCTGTTGGGACTGAAGGCCATGGGGGACGACGCGATGTGGTTGGAAGGAGGAGTTGGGGGAGGGCTACTTGAGGCATTTTCAGAGATGCGACGCTGGCGGAGACTTTCGGGGCATTCGATTTTTGAGACTTCGTGAAGGAGCGCATGAGTGTGCGATTCCTCCTCCTGGCTGGTCTTTGTCCCAGGTTCCCGTCATCGAAACAACTGCTGAGCCCGGACAGAAAGCTGAACCGACGTGGGTGCGTGGTTGCAAAAATGAGGACGAACATATTTGCATAGAGACGTTCGCTTCATTCAAGTCGGTCGGCCAGTATAGATTGCAAAAACACGGGCTTCGGGATCCCTGGAAATGCAGCGTGACCACAAATACTTGTCCCTGGTGCCTGGCGGTCTACGGCTCGGTGGTGGCGGCGCAGAAGCACGTGGCCTTGAGTGTAGCGAGGGGGGGGAGCTTGCAAATGCAGATCTCCATGCCGTGAAGGGAGATCTCATCCTGACCGTCGAACTTGCCACATCTGCAGCCATGAACGTTCGAGATTTGAGGAGCTCCAGCAACACTTGCAGGGGCACGCGCCCCCACTAGACCTATTGCGACGCGGCGAGCAGCATGGAGCTGGAGCCCGCCAGGTTCGCGCTGAAGAACAAGCAGGCCACGCCAGACGGGGGGGACCACAGGCGCAACAAGCAGCAGCGCACCGTCGAGGCCCTGCTCCACGGGGAAAGACATGGACGACAACTTCTTCAGTCGCCTCGTCACCGTCCTCGCCTGGCTGGCGTTGACAAGCACAGCAGAACTAAGAGACATCGCAGGCATTGTGTTCGCATGCCTGCTCGTGCCCGTCGAAGGCCAGGTGGCGCTGGCCACGATGGCCGCAGGCCAAACATACCACGAGACGGTCTGGGCACCCAAGGCCAAGAACGACGAGAAGGGCCTGGATGAGCTGGGCCCACCGTGCGCGCACATATTCACACCGATGGTGCTGGGCAGCAACCAGGAGGCATGCGAGCAGAAGTCGAAAGAAGTGATCTCGTCGTTTTCGATGGCACATATCAGGGATAAGGGCGCGGCGAAGGTGCAGGACACAGTCATGCGCTGCAAAGGCAGACCCACGAAGCCCAAGGAAAACAATCCTGGCATGATGGAGTTGCCCCCCGGCCTCAACAGCAAGCGCGCGGAGGTGCCGGGCGCGGTGGTGGTGGAGCCTCGCCGCGGGAGCGGAATCATCAAGAGGGGGCCGGCACCCGGCGGTTTTCTCGAGCGGGCGGCGCAGCAATTGCTGGAAGATCTCGAAGGCACGAAGGGCGGCAAGAAGAAGTGAAGACGACGCCGAGCCAGCATAATATCATATCGTGGGCCGATATTCGGAGAGATTGCAAGACCTCGTGCGCAGACGACCTGGTACGTCTAGAGACAGCTCTTCGACAGGCGACGGCATCGATGACGGTCGGCCCAGCCAGGCGCCGAACAAACAATTATATGTTTTAGACACTCAACGTCGACGTGACCCCAAACCCCACATGCTACTGGTTTCGGAGAGAGCGCGCGTAAGTATCGAATTCAAGTCTGAGCGGCTTGGAGCTATCCGAGTTGTCACACCTCCCGATCGGCCGGCCATGCGGCCAAAGTCTTGGACATGGTTGCCATGCGCCTATGGGGGAAGGTCTATGCGCGACGATTGTTTTTTTTGACTTGGAAGTTACTCGAGACACCAGACCCCCCCCCCCTTCCCATCGGCTTGCAAGGCGGTCAAAGTCTTGGCCTTGGTTGCCATGCACTTTTTTTTTGGGGGGGGGTCCACGCACGTCGATGACGCTGAGTATGATATTGCCTTCCCTCATCGGCCCGCACCGCGATTAAAGTCCCGGCCTTGGTTGCCATGCGCCTTCGGGGGAGGGCCGCGCACGAGGATTGCGCTGAGTACTTCGATCGGGCAGTGAACGAAGGTTGCGGCGACCCCCTCAGCTACTCGGCCGTCGTGTACGAGCTACGCAGAGTACGTTGAGCGACCCCGCAGACACAGGTGCACGCTGCGCACCTCCTCTCTCTCCCCCTCTTCCTCGGAAAAAAACCTGCCTGCCGAAATCGCCGCCCCCCGGGTGTCTCCCAATATCCTAATATGTGGTGTTTGTTATTACTCAGACGCCGCCGACTCCAGGGATAAAGAACACACTTACTCATACACAGACTTACTCATCTCATACTCATACCTTCTCATGGTTTCACTTACCCAACACACGACATGCAGGCCTACTCATACTCAGACTTACTCGTGCTGGGACTCCTACGTACCCAGAGTTTTTCATACCCAGACTCGTTCCCAGACCTGCTCATACACAGACTTACCCATACTCAGACCTACGCGTGCTAAGACCTACTCATAAACTGAGTTACTCAACGCACGGACTGATACCTATTCATATTCAGACCGAGGCATATTCAGACTCGCAAAGGAAGCCGCCAGGTGTGTTCTCACTGGCCCGTTCGCGGCCAGCATTGGGGATGTCTCAACCGGTCTTTTTGTTCTCATGCCCAACATTTTTTGCCTGCGGATCAGAGTTTGAGGATGTTTCAGGCGGGGCGCTGGTTCCAGCACCCCCAAGGGGAGCTGCCAGGGGTGTTTTCACGGGCCCGTTCGCGGCCAGCTTGTGGGGATGTATCAGGCGGTTTGTTCGTTGTCATGCCCAACATCCTTGGCTTTCAGAGCAGACTTTGAGGATGTCTCAGGCGGGGCGTTGGTTTCAGCACCCCCAAGGAGAGCTACCGAGGGTGTTTTCACAGGCCCGTTCGCGGCCAGTTCGCGGGGATGTCTCAGGCGGTTTGCTTGTTGTCATGCCCAACATTTTTGATTGGCAGAGCAGATTCGGAACACGTCTCAGGCGGGGCGTTGGTTTCATAAGTACTCGCCGCTCACGTGGATGCGCTCGCGGAGCAAACAAATATTCACTGCGTGGAGTTCCCCATATGTGCCTATCACTTTTAATGTCATGCCATAGCGAGCGTCTGTGCATGAGCGCTTGACTATAATAGTGCGTCCACGTGGGCGACAGGGCCGACGAAGACGGGCGACACCGAATGCGAATGAGTGAGTATGAGTCAGAGTGAGCTTTGAGTATGATCGATTGATTATGAGCCTCCCATTCGTTCCCCCCCCCGTGGGCTGCCAGGCCGTGCCCTCCTCAGCCTGTGGTAATGTGCGTATGTTTTACGATACTTGGCAGTGGTATTTGTAAAACGAGCGTTTAGCCACACACGGCCATATGTGCGCATCATGTTGCAGGATCGTGCCACGGCGAGCACTTGTCCATGATAGTTGTTTGCTCCACGAACGCGTCCATGTGAGCGGCGAGCACTGCTGAAACCAGCGCCCCGCTTGAGACATTTTCAGAATCTGTTCTGACAGCCAAGGGCGTTGGAAACGCAAACAAGCAAGCCGCCAGAGACATCCCCACAAACTGGCCGCGAACGGGCCCGTGGAAACACCCCTGGCGGCTCCCCCTAGGGGTGCTGAAACCAGCGCCCCGCCTGAGACATCTTCAGAATGTGTTCTGAAAGCCAAAGCTGTTGGGCATGAGCACGGGCAAACCGCTTGAGACATCCCCGCACACTGGCCGCGAACGGGCCCGTGAAAACACCCGTGGCGGCTCCCCTTGGGGGTGCTGAAACCAACGCCCCGCCTGAGATATCTTCAATTTTTTCTCTGGCAGCCAAGGATGTTGGGTATGAAAACGAGCAAACCGCTTGAGGCATCCCAACAGGCTGGCCGCGAACGGGCCCGTGAAACCACCCATGGCGGCTCCCTTCAGGGGTGTTGAAACCAGTGCCCCGCCTGAGACATCTTCAAAATCTGACCTGAAGGCCAAGGATGTTGGGCATGCGAACGAGCAAACTGCTTGAGACATCGCCACTGGCTGGCTGCGAACGGGCGCGTGAAAACACCCCTGGCGGCTCCCCTTAGGGGTGCTGAAACCAGCCCCCCGCCTGAGACGTCCTCAAACTCTGCTGTGAAAGCCAAAGATGTTGGGCATGAACACGAGCAGACCGCTTGAGACATCCCCACGGCCCAGGAGAATCGATTGCTGGTGGGAGAAGAGTTCGGATGTCGCCACCCATGTAAGATGACCACCTTGTGCGGCCACGGCCACCACGACCACCGCGCCGCGGCAGCGCACAGAAGCGGCCCAGGACGCGGGGAGCATCCCGGGAGACCACCCCAGAACGGCAAAGAGTTTCAGTCTTCGAACCTCGTTCATCAAGCCTCGACTGACGGCGCCGCCGCCGCCGCCACCGACGACGACGACGACAATGACGACGACGGCGACGACGAGAAGACGACGACGACGCCGACGACGACGACGCCGACGCCGACGCCGACGCCGACGCCGACGACGACGACGACGACGACGACGACGACGACAACGACGAGCGCGCCCCAGGAGCGCGCAGAGGCGGCCCCGGCGCACGGCCGCCGCTGGCGTTAGCCGCCCGGCGCCCGAGGTGCCCGGGCTGTCCCGGCCGTACGGGTCGTCGGTGGACGCCGCGGAGTTCCTCGGCGGTGGCGCGGGCCTGGACAGGGCCGCGGGCGGCAGGGGCGGAAGTCCGATCAGGGGCAACGACAGTCAGACAGTCAGAAGAGGGGAGGGGGGGAAGCTGCAGGTTCGAGGAGGAAGTTTGGCGGTTGGAGGAGGGCGGAGGTGGAGGAGGAGGAGGAGGAGGAGGAGGAGGAGGAGCGGAAGGGGGAGGGCGAGTTGAGAGAACGATCGTCGTCCTTCAAGGGGCCCCCTCGTCGACGCGACTGGACGCAGCTCGGAAGACCCTTGCGTTTGGCACAAGTCGCCCATTCATCGCCGATCGGCGCCTGGGTGCCCCCTTTCCCGCCTCCCACCCAGGAGCGTGCGGGTCCGCTAATCCTTTCCCATGGCCTATCGCCGATCCATCGGCGACGGACCGCCGGTTCATAGCTTTCAGTCGCTTCGAGGACAGCACGGTATGAACAGAAACTCTTGGAGGTCTGGGCGCATTCCTTGGGCAGGCGCTGGATCCTTTTTTCCCCTGGCGCGCAAAGCGCGCCAGGTGCGCCGCCAGGGCGGTCAGCGCCGACCGCATGCGGACCACCAAGAGTTTTGTTGGTGACATGTGGTTCAACGATGCTGCTGGATGAGAGTTTCGTTTTGGAGTGCGCTTCAATCGTAGGCACAGGCAGTGGGAAGTGAACGCGGGTGGAGAGAGGAATGCAAAGCGCTCCGGGGGTCGCGAGTAGGGGACGGGAGGAGGAAGGAGTGGAATACGAGGTGGCCCGCCCCCCTGGTCCGCGCACATGCTTCGGGCCATGATTTGCACACACCCCTCTCCCCCTCTTGGACGCCCCCGAAGCACATCTGGACTTCTGGACCGGAGTCGCGCGCTCTGGGCCCCGGGTGCCCTCACCTGCGGGCTGCCGCCTCACGGTCCCTGGGGCGCCGCACCGCAGCCCCGTCATTGGCAGCCACACTGCAGCCAGGACGGCCTTCCCAAGGATATCCCCAAGTCCGCGGCGCGCCGAGGGGGGAAGGCGGAGGGGGGGCAGGCCTTGTCGGACGGCTCAGGAGGCGGCCTTCCGAGAGGCTTTCTGAGCCCTCCCCGAAGACGCGGACGGCATGTCAGAAGGAGGAGGGAGGAGGCCGAGGAGGAGGAGGAGAAGTAGGAGGAGGAGGAGAAGTAGGAGGAGGAGGAGGAGAAGCAGCAGGCCGCAGGGGTTCCGAGAAGCCCCACCGCCTGCTGAGCAGGCCTGCACCCTCTCACTTCCCCCCTCCCTGGGCGCGCCGCCGAGCAGCACGGGCGTCAAGGGTCCCACGACGGCGTGGCGGCTCGTCTCCGATCAGGCTGCGGAAGCAGAGCCAGCCGGCGCGAGTCCAGTGCGCGAGCATTCGGACGCGGATGTGCTGGCAAGGGGCCCAGATCCTGGCGCCTCGAGCCCGCGGAGCGGGGCGGGCATCCCAGGGCCCCCTACTCCGCTTCCTCCCCTCCCTCCCTGCCTCCCTCCCTCCCGTGATGGGTCGACGCAGGTCGACACCAGCCGACGTGCACCGAGACACAGGTGTCTCCGAGATACGTTCAGGGGAACGACTAATGGGATAAACATAAGACCTCGGAGGTCCGCGCGGATTTCTCGGATCGGCGCTGGGGCCCCCTGGCGGCGCCTCTGGCGTTGCCCCTGGCGCGCTCCGCGCGCCAGGGAGGGGGGCCCAACGTCGATCCGAAAAAGTCCGCGCGGGCCTCCGAGTTGTTATGTTTATGTCATTGTCTGCTTACCTACGCAAGTCGACGCCATCCGATGTACACCGAGACACTTGTGTCTCGGAGAGGACTCCGGACAACTCGTGGAAGGGTCCAGCGCGAGTCGCGCACCGCAGAAGTTGTTCGTCCCCTCAGCCAACAACCAAGAATGCCCTGACGTCAGAAGGCGTCCTGGCCCCGCTGGGCCTCGTGAGGGGTGCTCTGGAGGCCGTGGGCGCCTCCTGGTAGATCTCGAGGACATGTCTACGTCGGCCGAGACGCCTCCCCGAGTCTCCTCCCTGAGAATCCTCCCCGGGTCTCCTCCCCGAGAATCCTCCCTCCCGAGACTCCTCCCCGAGAGCCCTCCCCGAGACCCTGCCAGGTGGAGTCACGGTAGATGGGGGCCGGGTGATCGTGCCGCATCGCAGAGGCATTGCCGATGCGGCTCGATGAGGGGCCCCCCTCTCTCCGCGCGGACTCGCGGATGCATTGCCGACGTCGCCCGCGGATGCATCGACGATGCATCGACGATGCAGCGCAATCTTCCAATCCCGTCTACTCGTAAGTCCGGCATGTCCTTCTACAGGAGGAGTATTCAGAAATAGTAGAACATCGTCTGGGGACTACGTATGGCTTGAGTATATTTGTTTTACCATGTTGTCGCATTTTTGCAGCATTTTCTTTTTTTCGTCCAAAATCCGCCTGTAGGGGGACATGTCCGACCTAAATCTACTCAGACCCCATCCGGGAGGCGTCTGACCTTGGGTCTGGGACCTTCCAGACAACGCTCGGTCCCCCCTTGGATGTCGGCAGGAGTCGATCGGATTTGCGGACGTGGACGGAGACCTGGTGCGCCTGGTCAGGACGCGGGGGCGGGGATGATGATGATGATGATGATGATGATGATGATGATGATGATGATGATGATGATGATGATGATGATGATGATGATGATGATGATGATGATGAGATGATGATGATGATGATGATGATGATGATGATGATGATGATGATGATGATGATGATGATGATGATGATGATGATGATGATGATGATGATGATGATGATGATGATGATGATGATGATGATGATGATGGATGATGATGATGATGAGAGGAGGAGGAGGAGGAGGGAGGAGGAGGAGGAGGAGGAGGAGGAGGAGGAGGAGGAGGAGGAGGAGGAGGCGGAGGAGGAGGAGGAGGGAGGAGGAGGAGGAGGAGGAGAAGGAGGAGGAGGAGGAAGGAGGAGGGAGGAGGAGGAGGAGGAGAGGGAGGCGAAGAGGAGAAGGAGGAGGAGGATGAGGAGGAGAGAAGGAGGAGGAAGGGGGGGAGGAGGAGGAGGAGGAGGAGGAGAGGAGGAGGAGGAGGAGGAGGAGGAGGAGGAGGAGGAGGAGGAGGAGGAGCCGGAGAACCCAGACTTCCTCGCGTCGCGAGGCAGGCGCGGCGGAGGGTGTTCGCCGACGCTTGTCCTCGGGGGGGGGGGGCTTCTGCTGGGCCCCCCGTGCGTCGAAAAATTGTCTGGGAGGAGAAGTCGACCCCCGGTCGGGAACAGCCATGACCCCAGGTAAGGGGACCCGGTTAGTAGTAGGGCCCCGGGATCACTAAAGCAGGTCTGCGGAAGCTTGTTTTTTTCGGGTGACGGCAGCTCCGGTTAGTGGAACGGGGCGGGGGGGCGTCCCCCAGTACACGTCACTAAACCAGGTCCCACCAAACCCAGTTCTGCCAACGCCCGACCCGGGGCGGGGTCTGGAGCGCCGAGAGTCACGCTGTGATAGAGTTCAGCCACACGCAGAGGGGGTGGGGAGAGGGGGGACGGTTTCTTAGAAGCACCCCTGCTTCTTAGAAGGCGCGGGCCTCATGTATCGATGTAGGGCGCTGAGCAGCAGCCTCCCTCTGAGAAGCCCTCTCCCCTCCCTCCACCCCCTTGTGCGCGCCGCCAAATGGCCACGACGTCGGACGTCTGGGGGGGAGGAGGTTGCCTGCCTGGCAATGGTGTCCGTGATTTTTGCTTCGACGTGTATTTCTCCAATGGCCTGCACTTCTGCTTGTCCCCATCTATTTCTCCTCCTCGCAGCCGCTCGTCGAATGGCTCGTGAGGCGCGAGCCTGAGGGGGGGGGCATGCAGAGGGGGTGGGCCTTCTCAGGAGGCTCGCAAGGCCTCAGGGCTCCGAGAAAACTCCTGAGCCGCGGAGGCCTTCCGAGCCTTCCGAGAAGGCCCGCCCCCCCCCGCCCCCGGGCTCGCCGCAGCGGACAGCAAGCCGCCGTGCTGTCAGCAAGGGGCGCCGAACCAAGGGAGGGAAGGACCGACCTCGGGGCGCGACAGTGAGGAGTTACGTAGTAGGAAAAGGAATGGTGGAGGAGGAGGAGGAGGAGGAGCAGGAGCAGGAGCAGGAGCAGGAGGAGGGAGGAGGAGGCCTTCCCCCCCGGGCTCGCCGCCGAAGAGAGACGTCCGCGGTTGTGGTCGGCTCGGACGCGTCGCAGTCGGCCGCGCCCGGTCCGTCCAGCTCCGTGGGCCGCCGTGCCGCGGCCGCGGCGGCGTGCCCATCCGAGGCCGCCCGCGCCTCTGCGGGTCGGCCTCGGCCGCCTCTCGGGTCTTCGGCTGCGGGCTCGGACTCGCAAACTGGAACATATGCATTACCAGTGGCGGGTTGTTTTTCAATCCCACGACTTCGTAAGGGTCAGGAACGACGTCGGGGTGGTGTGGTGTATACTTTTCCCCCGTTTTCCAAGGGAAGCAACGAAACATGTATACACCAGGATCCCGTATACACCGGAACCCGCGTTCCTGTGCGAATTTCAGCGCAGGGTCGGGAAACGGCTCGGTGTATAGAGTTCGTTTCCCTACGGACGGCGTTCGATCTGCGCGACCCCGACATACTTATTGGGGGCAACGATAGGGGGGGATAGGCATAGGGGGGGATGCATCGACGCCCAATCGCCCATGGATCGCCGGTAGGGGCCCGATAGCCACAGCCTGCACAGGAAGGTGCGGATTCACTATCGGAGACCTATCGCCGATCTATCGGCGATGTATCGCCGATTCCAGGTCGATGCATCCCCCCCTAAGCCAGTCCACCCCTTATCGTCGCCCCTCAACTTATACGAGGTGTGCGTCGCCCCCCCCCAGGGGCGACGCGCGCACCGAGAAACCTTCTAGTATATGCGTCGAGGCGTGTGCTTTCTGGCCGCACCGCTCGGGCAACGATGTACTACAAGATGGGTGCACTGCACGTTCGGGTCGGACGCGCGCCTCCAAGGAGGACATATAGTATTAGTATGGTTCTGTGCGTCCCATCCGAGGTCGGTGGCGCCCATCGAGGGGGGGTGAGGATCGCAATGGGGGAAGCGGGTCATGAGGGAAACGGGTCCTGAGGTTGTTCGCCGGCTTGACTTTCTCGGGGCAATCCACGGGCCCCAGGACTCTGTGAAGATCTCGTCTTGGGGGGAGGCACCAGGGTCCAGGGCCCATTTCCTTCAGGACCCGTTTCCCCCATGCTAAAAAAGAGCTCGGGGAGGGGATCGGGGAACGAAAAACAGCATAAGCACACATTTTCGGGGGTCCGCGCGGATGTCTCGGGTCGGCGCTGGAGCTCCTTGGCGGCGCCTGCGGCGCCGCCCCTGGCGCACTCCGCGCGCCAGGAAGGGGGTCCAGCGCCGATCCAAGACATCCGCGCGGACCTCCGAAAGTTTATTGTCATGTGACTTGTTGCTCCTCCAGGGACGTGGCCAGAGCCACGAAGTCCCCCAGTATGCATGGCCTCTTCAGAAGCCTCTTCACATCTTGTTTCAGGACGGTCCCTCGTCGTCGTCGTCGGCGTCGTCGCCGTCGTCTTTCGCAGTCTATCGCATCGGTGTCACCAATGCTTTTCGGCGAGCTCGACAGCCCGACAGGGGCCCGGACGCCGGTGATTCCTGCCCCCCCCCCCTCGTCCGCGCACGTGCCTCGGGCTGGTATGCGCCAGCCCCCCTCTTCCCGGCCCCCGCTTTCGGCGCACCCGATCGGCTGTGCCGCCGCAGTGGACGGCTCTGCCCCGTCGGCAGGGGAGGAGCCCGTCTCCACCACGGTTCTGCACCCTCTCCATCTCCACGGGGCGGCCGCGCGCCTCGCGCGGCGTTCCCTCTGCGGAGGACGTCGAGGAGCACGACGCACGGAGGAGGATGAAGATGATGAGGATACAGATGGTGCCCATTCCGCCACTCCTGCCTTCCCCGCCAGCTCTCTCCTGGTTGGCACTTGGCTTCCCAACAGTCGTAGCACATGGTGTTGCCGTTCTGTCTCAAGAGTAGCAGTACGCTGAATAAGGAACCCATTTCGTTCGGGAGGGGCTCAGTGCTCCTGAGTTGTTTTACAGTTGGCCGTAGGCTGTGCTTAGGTTTTCGATGAGAAGTCGAAGTTCAACTCATGGAAAAAAGGGGCCTCGTTCCTTACTTAGGGTTCCGTAGGTCAACGCCCCGACTGTACACAGGCGGTCCGTGGGCCTGACTCGAGGAGTGAAAGAGAGAAGGGGATGGAGAGAAGGGTGAACAATGAATTGGGAGGAGGGGGAGCGGAAAGGAGGATAACGGGGAGGCGGGGACAGATGAGCAGGGGGGAGCATGATGAGGACGATGAGGAGGGCAGGAGGACAAGGATGAGGTTGATGATGATGGTGATGTTGGTGTTGCTGCTGATGATGCTGATGCTGGTGTTGATGATGCTGATGGTGATTGTTTTTGTGATGATGATGCTGATGATGGTGTTGATGATGATACTGATGGTGATGGTGATGATGGTGATAATGATGATGTTGATAGTGATGCCGATGTTGCTGTTGGTGCTGTTTTTGGTGGTGTTGTCGTTGGTGGTGTTGTTGATGATGGTCATCAAATGAATGGTGGTGTTGATGATGATGTTGTTGATGATGGTGATGATGGTGATGACGATATGCTGATGATGCTGATGCTGCTGATGCTGAGAAAGCTGATAACGATGATGCTGCTGATGAGGATGACGATGATGATGATGATGATGCTGATGCTGATGCTGATGCTGATGATGATGATGATGACGACGATGATGATGATGACGATGCTGCTGCTGATGATAATGATGATGATGATGCTGATGACGATGATGATGATGATTTTGATGATGCTGATGATCATGGCGATGGCGATGATGCTGCTGCAGATGATGATGATGATGATGATGATGATGATGATGATGATGATGATGATGATGATGATGATGATGATGATGATGATGATGATGATGATGATGATGATGATGATGATGAGGATGAGGATGAGGATGAGGATGAGGATGAGGATGAGGATGAGGATGAGGATGAGGATGAGGATGAGGATGAGGATGAGGATGATGATGGTGATGGTGATGGTGATGGTGATGGTGATGGTGATGGTGATGGTGATGGTGATGGTGATGGTGATGATGAGCAGGAGGAGGAGGAGCAGGAGGAGCAGGAGGAGGTGGAGGAAGAGGCACACGAGAGTGAGATTGGGAATGCTGAGCATGATGATGCTGTGGTACTCCCCCCTTGTTGCCCTCTGCGCCCGCCCAGCATGCTCTGGACCGTCCCTGCCTGGATTTGCTGTCAGCCTCGGGTAGCGTGCCCGGTCTGTGACCGCACCATCGCCCGGCTACCCCAGACCGAGGGCCCGATCATTCTGGAGGTAGGAAAGGGGTAAGGTGTAAATGGGTGTGGTGCTAATTTGATGTAAAGGGGACTTTGGCGATGCTATCTATCGCAGAAAGCATCGCCATTTCCACGATAGGCACCATACTCCTTCATGCCACACCCCTTTTCCGACCTCCAAAGCCCTGCCGAGTTGCCTGTCCCGGGTTGCTGGTGCTGTCGCCCCCTCGCGGCCCGATGAAGTCTCGAGACGGAAGGCTTTGGGGTCATGCTTGCCTCCCGAGGCCCTCGCTGGGCCCCCCAGGGGCCGTCAGGGGCGGCTGGGGACGAGAAGCGGTGCCGGTGGCTTCGCGTCGGGCGAGCCCTGGCGAGCCCTCGCGTCGGGACCGAATCAGGACGGAAGGCTTTTGGCCGTCTTTGCCTCCGGAGGCCCGCGCTTGGCCCTCCGGAGGCCGTCAGGAAGCGGCTCGGTCTGAGAGGCCGGTCCTCTTGGAGGGGTTCTGACCTTTTGGTACCCGCGTTGTGAGCAAAAAAAATCGGTGTCGGATGTCCTGGGACAAGGCGGAGGTTTGTAGAACAGGGTGGGTGCGAACTCCGCTACACGGAGCGCGTTTCAGCTCGGCCGCCAGGCCCCTTTGCTCCTTCATCACGTGGCCGCCTGCTGCGCTGGGAAAGCCAGCTGCATATAAGTCATTCCCCACCCCTGCTCCTTCTATTCGGCGGCGACGATAAGGGGCGAATGGCCCAGGGGCGGGCATTACACGTATTCGCCCCGGGAGCCTTTTCGAAGACATAGATCATCGGCGCTCCTGAATGCATGTATTGCTCTCCCATGGGCTATTCGCTCCTATCGTCGCCTCTTATTTGTTGTCCACCAATATTGTCCGTGTCGAGTGTTTCTGCGGCGAGCGAGCGGGGGGGAAGTGAGAAGTGGCGGGCCTTCCCAGGAGGCTCGGAAGCCCCTCGTCCTTCTCAGAAGCTTCGTAAGCCTTCCCCGAGCACACAGACAGCCTCTCAGGAGGTCAGAGGGCTTCTTTGACGCCCTGCCGCCTTCTGAGAAGGCCTTCTCCTTCTCACTTCTCCCCCTGGCTCGCCGCCGAGTCAGGGGAGAAGCTCCCGGAGGTCCGAAATGGTTCGACGGCGCGCCCAAAACCTCGACTGTGGGTTCGGCGCCACGCAGGAGGGAGGACGGTCAGCACGAGGTTTTCGTCAACGACGACCTGATCTGGACGGGCACCCCGGAGCTCAAAGTCGGAGGAGGGCGGGGAACGAGGGGGAAGGACCGGCCACGCGCAGAGGGGGGTCGGGGGAAGGGGGAAGGCGTCTTAGAAGCACCCCTGCTTCTTAGGAGGCGCGGGCCTTGTCTACAGATGTAGGGCAGGCGCCCTCTAGGAAGCCGCCTCCTTCCAAGCATTCCTCCCTCCCCCTACCGCCTCGTGCGCGCCGCCAACAGGACGAGGAGGGGATGAGTCAATCAGGGCCCAGACATCGCGTTGTCTTATCAACACTCTGAGCCTGCCGTATTAATTTCCCTTACAATTATTGCTGTACTTGTATACAGCGGGCGCTACAGCAAATAATTCCTAAACCAATTAACGCTGTACTGTAGCCCCCAAAAAACTGTAGTAGTGACGGAAGGTGTTTTTGCTATTTCCGCCGTCCGGGAGGCCCTCACTGGGTCTATCGGGTCCCAGGATGGTCAGAGAACAATTTGCGGGTAACATCCAGTCCAGATTGTTTCGGTGCCCCATTGTGAGACAATAGAGACACTGGAAGTCTGAGACAGTAGTGCAGGAGGAGGAAAGGGTCTGAGAGCGAGCGGGCTGAGGATGAGTGCGACGGCGAGACGGAGGACGAGCAGGACGAGGAGGGTGAGCATGGCGAATAGGACGAAAAGGATAAGCAGGTCGAAGAGGAAGAGAGGGAGAGGGAGGTCCTGCGTTCTGGTGAACACCAGAGGTAGGACGGGGACGGATGAGCACTACAGCCAACAGCGAAGCCTGCAGAGGCAGGACGGTGAGGCGAGCGGGATGGAGGGGGATCGGGAGGCGCCGGAGAGGGCGAGGAGTAGCCTCTTGGGGGGGGAGCGCCCGGGAGCCAGGCGGCAGGGGCCCGGCCACCGCCCGCGCGTTCGTCGTCGTCGCCTCCGCCGCCGCCGTCGTCGTCGCCGCCGTCATCTTCGCCGTCGTCGCCGTCGCCATCGCCGTCGTCGTCATTGTCGTTGTCGTCGTCGTCCTCCTCCTCTTCCTCCATAACTCCTCTCTGCCGCACCCCGAGGCCGGTCGAAAGGGCGGGCCTGGCGTTTCGCCTGAGACCTCATGGCCCTGAATCTAAAAAGCTGGCAACAGCTTAAATGATAGGGCGGGTGGTTTTCAAAATGTGGCTCTCGCCTCAGTGCCGCCCTCATTAGGTTTTTTCCCATTTGCAGGAGCTTCACGGATTGGGGGCGGGTGGTTTTCAAAATGTGGTTCTCGTGTCGTGCACACTCGTTCTAAAATATCTATTTCCGTGAGGTTCGCTGATTCCCATGATCAACGTGCCAGAAAAGGTGTTCTGGAAGGACTCAGGATTGTGAGGGCGCAACAGTTACGTTGATTCGCTGTGCGAGTCCCAGAATTGGTGTTCTGGCACGGATCGCCAAGACGCAACAGTCATGACAATTCGTGGCGTTGGAGTCCCGAGAATAGTGCTTTGGCACGTTTCAGGGTCTTCAAACGGTTCTCCCCCAGCGAGGCAGTTCCCTCAGTGGAAATGAACCCTTGTAGGGGCCAGTGAAGAGGGAGCTTGGAGGGAGGGGTTAATCCAGCATCGTTCATGAGTCTTGGGTTTCCTCCTTTCTCCTCCTTTCTCCTCCTCCTCCTCCTCATCCTCCTCCTCCTCCTCGCCGGCCGCCAGCCGCCCCCTCCGCGTGCCGTCGCGGCCGTCGTCGTTCGCCGCCGTCGCTCGCCGTCGCCCGCGTCGGCTCCTGGCGGGGGTGGCGCGCGGGCTGCCCGCGGCCGGCCGCGCGGCGCAATGGCCGCCGCGGCGGGCCCGAGCCGCCGCACGTGGCACCCGCGGCCGCCGCCGGTGGGGCTGCCGCCGCTCGGGGAGGCCGGCGCCGCGGAGGCCGCCGCCGCGGAGGTCTGGCGGGGGTCCTTCTTGGAGTTCAGGAGGGGGAGAAAGACAGGGACACAGTGAGTCGTCGACCCCCCAGGAAGTATGGGAAAACATGGGAAGTGGGGGGGAGGGCAGAAGCCCCAAAAATGTAGGAAGATATGGGGCATCCTGTTATTTGTGTGTATCTATTTGTGTGTCCCAGGGCCCCTTCAGGAGTGTGGGCCTCCCTTGAGATCCTTCGAGCAGTGGCGAGGCGTCCGGGCTTGCCGGTAGGCCACCCACAGAATGTTCTAAGAATCTTGTCTGTGGTGACCACGGTGTGGTCTGCGTGTAATATTCTTGGGGCTTCGGTTGTGTGTTGTAGGAGTGTCTTGTTGTCTGCGTGTGATATTCTTGGGGCTTCGATTGTGTGTTGTAGGAGTGTCTTGTTGTGGCTGCGACTGTCTTGTTTGAGCGCGTCATGTTTAGATTGGAAGAGCAGCGTGTTGTTCTTAGAACACCCATTTCGTTCCACTGACACGTCGTGGTAAGCCTGCAGGAATGCCGGGACAGTCGGCCCCTGCTCAAAGTCTGGACCTCCCTCGAGATCTTGGCGCGGCAAGTTGTTTCACAGTGGGCGTTTTCCCCAGTTTCCAGCCCCAGGGTCTCGCAAGTCGACCCGCCTCGGGGGGAGGGGGAGGGGGAGGGGGAGGGGGAGGGGGGGAGGGGAGGGAGGGAGGAGGAGGAGGAGGAGGAGGAGGAGGAGGAGGAGGAGGGAAATGGCGCAGAACGATGAGGCACCCGGGCTCCCGCCGCGATATGTTACGATGTCTCCTTTGTTTGCGGCGTCGGATCTCGGGCTCCCAATCAGGAGGGAGCAAGAAAACACACAGACATAATCCATCGTCGATCCCCCAGAAGATATGGGAAAATAAGGGAAGGGGGGGGGGGGGGAGACGGAGATCCAAAAGATCTGGAAAAATATGGGGAATCGTTTTATTTGTGCGTATTTACTTGTGTGTCCCAGGGCCCCTTCACCCAAGTTCGCTATGAAGGCGAGGGATCCTGAGAGGGAAACGGGTGCTGCATTACAGCTTAATCTTTGGCCTCTCCTGGGGCCCTCGACGGGCTCCAGGAATGCCAGGCAACTATTCAGGAGGGAGAGCTCGTCCGGGGGGAAGGCCCCGGTGTCCAGGACCCGTTTCCCACAGGATTCGCTTCTTGCGTGCCAACACGTGAGCGACAAAGCAAAATAGGTTAAATTGCGCCGACATTCGCGCGCGCTGCTCGCGTAGGGTAGCGCGTAAGCGCCCTCGTCGCCAGTGTGGCGTGCCGCGCTGGCGGCCCGCGTGAGCCACTGCGCAAGGTCGCTGATAATCATCTTGCGTAAGACCCCTGTCTTTTCGTCGCTCAAGTGGGGTCCGCGCAGATGGGGTCGTTTGGTCGGCGGGGGAGCCAAGCAGTTGGGCGACCAAACATCGGTGTAGTACAGACGCTCCAGCGTCCCACGGGTTAGACAGCTAAGGCGAGGTGTCAATACACAGAGCGCCCTGGTCGACCAAAGAGCGGAGCCCGGGAACGTCAGCCGAAGAGGCAGAGTCCAGGTCTCCAAAGGATCATTCCGCGTCACCGATGCATCGGCGATGCGGCTCGATGTGGAGCCCGGTTTTCTCTGCGTCGGCGTCGCCTACGCGTCGCCGACGTCGGCGATGCATCGCCGATGCATCGGAGATGCACCGGCGATGCGGCGCGACCCCTCTGGCCACATCGACGCGAACCCCACTCTTGGCATCGCTCGGACGTGTGCATTTTCTTCTGCGGGGACCATCGAGGGGCATCTTGGATTAAGATGTTTCGACTTATTTTAGCATTGACCACAAGAAAGAATTTCGAGCACCAAGAAAGCACCGAAACTGGATGGTTTTCACGCGTCGGGCCCTGGGAGGCGGCACTCGCTCGTCACTTTTTCGATACTTTCCTGGGTGCCCGCCATTATTTCTGGGATGTGACCCTTAACCTACGACGGGAGCAGGACAAATCTTGGATCATCTTGCCAACAACTTGCGCACAGCAGCGGAGCATGCATGGGGAATGGACGTCTAAGCGGTGGCAGTCGCGCCCAGGGCGGCTCCCCGGCTTCGGCGCCCTCGGTCCGAGGCCAGGGGCCTCGGACTGGGGCGCCTCGTCGCGTTCCTGCGGCTCGTCGCTTCTGAGGCTCCTGCTCCCAGACCCCCTCGGGCACAGAACAAAATCATGACGGGAGTCTGTTCGTGGTTTTCGGCTTTTGGGAGCTCTTACGGGCCTCGGGACCGTCAACGCACGACCCAGAATGAGGAAGTGGTCTTGGGGACTGGGTCGAGAACTCTGGGGCATCGATGCAACGAACAAATCATGACGTCGGGGGTCTGGGCTCGCATGTTTTGTTTTCTTGGCATCGCTCGGACGTGTGCTTTTGTTCTTGGCGAGAACTATCGGGGAGCATCTTGGAGCATCTTGCGTCAAAAAATGCGCACACGCACGAAATGGAGAAATGCACGGGGATTGGGACGTCCGAGCGATGGCGAGTTGTTGAGTCCGTAGCCTTCGGCTCAAGCGCCACGCTGCTCACGCCACTCCGGGGAACATGGGGCGCCGCCCAGCAGCGACCGGCGGTGGCGGGCCGGCGGCGGCCAGCGAAGGCGTGGCCAGGCCGGCGGCGGCGGCCCTGCAGCTCCCGACGCCCGACGCCGCCGCGTAGCCCGACGCCCTGGCGTTGGGGCCACTCCCTGCGGCGGGGCGGTCGCAGGAGCTCCCGGCCCACTCGGTGGGGGGCCCCGTGGGCCCGGGCGCGCCCGCGGCGGCGAGGAGCAGCAGGCCGCCCCCAGCCAGCAGCATCGTCTCGTCGGCCTCGGGCTCTGCGCGCGCGCGGCCGCGGGGCCAGGCCACGGAGGCCGTCCAGGACCTCGGGCATGAGTTCGACGTTCGGCCGGGCCGCTGGGGCGACTGCATGAGGGAGATCAGGAGCATGATGGCGGAGGCCTCGAAGGAGAGGCGGTCGCTGGCGGAGGACTCTGGCATGCGCCAGGAGGAGCTCCTCGGGATGGTGGCCCAGATGGCGACGGGCGCGTCGGCCAGGCGCCGTGCGAGCCAGGAGCAGGCGGCCTCCCACGAGAGGGCCCTGAGGCAGCAGGCGTGCGACCTCGCGAGTGGCGCCGCGCTCAACCACGAGGTCCTCCAGGAGCTCCTGCGGCGGCACACCGCCGGCGAGGAGCCAGGGCAGGAGCCGGAAGGAGGCCGCGGCCGGCGAAGTGGGGCGTCCTCGCCCGCGGCGCGGCAGCGGCAGCAGCCCCCCCCGCAGCAGGGAGCGCCGGCCACCGTCGACGAGGCCGCGGCGCCGGCGGAGGGGCCAGTGGCCGTGCGGGAGTCTACGACATTCAGGTCGGGTTTGTCCTCCTACAGTTTGATGTTGTGCGAAGCAATGAGTATATATATATATATGTATACATACACATCAAACGAAATAATATTCAGCAAGTACCCAACAAAGACCAATCAAACCGTCCCCACACCTTCTTTTGATTATTTTTGGGCACTCCTCGTGTAGGGGGGACAGGCCCGACTTGATACGACGCTCGGCTTCGGGGCGCTCGTCGGCAACTCCACGCCGTCGACGCTCCTGCGCCTCCCGCCGCTGGCCCTCGCCCCGCCGGGGCGGGGCACCGGCGGGCCGCAGGGGGCCGCGGGAGCGCAGGCGGCGTCCCCGGAGGGCGGCGCCCCCGCCCCTTGCGAGGAGCCGGAGGACGGCGGCAGCGCTCAGGACTCGAGCAGTGGCGAGGCATCCTTCAGAGCGTGAATTAGCTACCCCGCTTTCGCTTCCAGGCAAAACCAAGCCATACCACGCGCCTCCTCGTCAAGCGGCCTGATCAGTACAGGCCGTAGTTTGGCATCGCTTGGTATCTCTTGCAAGCGAGGGTGGTCAAAAGCGAGGTAGGCTTGCTTGCCCCCTAGTCCTGGCTTGCCTATGGGCCCACCGAAGGATGTTCTAAGAACCTTTTGTGGTTTGCGCGAAATGCTCTTATCACACATCGGGCTTATACTATGAGAACACTCGGGGGTGGACAGACCTACCCTGACACGTCGATTAAGGAATTGGCCGGTTTCGGTTCGCGAGAGGACGTCGCGGCCGTCTTTTCAGCGGGTCCAGGTCCGTCGGTTTCGGGCCCAGGCCGTTTTTGCAAAGGGGAGGTTTACTAAAGGGAGGTTTGTCCACCGCCGAAGCAGTTGCGAGGCGTCCTGGCTTGCCCATGGGCCCACCAGAGGGTGTTCTAAGAACCTTTTGTGGTTTGCGCGAAATGCTCTCATAGCACATAGGGCTTATACGATGAGAACACTGTTTTTGTTCTTAGAACATTGTTGGGTTCTAAGAACATGTGATGGTAGGCCTATAGGAATGCCGGGACGGCCGCTTCCTGCCCAAAGGACGGAGGGGGCCCTTCCTGCGGGGCGCGGCGGCCGCAGGACGCCCCTGCCCGCGCCCCGCGGGCGCGGACGAAGGCGCCGCTGAACGTCGGGGCACAGATCTCCGAGGAGAGGGCGGGTGCGCGAGACACCCTGTGAAGCATCGATGGCCCGAAGCAGAGGAGTACCGTGTCCCTGTTCAACCAGACCTACCTGGCGGAGCCTGACGCCAAGGTGCCCTGGATGGTAGCGTGCTACACAGCGTACATGAACATCAAGGAGCCGGAGCGCACTGGCAGAGTTGCGAGACTCGAGGTGGTCTCGCGCCACTCATTCGGGCTCATCATCTTCATGCACGCGTGCTGGATGACCTGGTTTGTCGACCAGCAGGCGAGAAGTGCTCTGGACCGACGGTCCTGGGCATACGAGGTCGACAAGTTTTTCCTGGTCATGTACATGGCGGAGCTGGGCCTGCGGCTGGTAGTGCACAGGCTGTACTTTTTCTTAAGTGAGGATGCTGGCTGGAACTGGTTTGACTTCCTGATAGTGCTCATCGACATCATGGAGACAGTCCTGGCAGAAGGCGGGCCCGCGGGGCTCTCTGTCCTGCGCCTCGTCAGGACCCTGAAGGTCATCCGGGTCTTCCGGGTCTTCCGGCTCGTCCACGTGTTCCATGAGTTGCGCTTCATTTGGGATTGTCTAGTCGGGTCCGTACGCTCATTATTCTGGAGCGTGGCTATGATGATGTTGGTTATTGAATCGCTTCGCTCATTCCGCGGCCCGTTTTGTGCCATCGTTGGCTCTTTCCAGCGCGTTCGTGGCCCATGGGGTTGTGATTCTCTTTGGAAAGCTTTGGAGAGCTCCTGGGGAGCAGTCCTGAAGCCTCGTTGGAGCCTCTTGGGAGCTTCGTGGGGGCCTCCCGATTGCCTCATCAGGGCCTGTTGGGGCCTTGGGGATCTCTTACGGCCTCCTGGGGGCCTCTGAAGGCCGAGGGCTTGAAATGTCGTTTCGTGTTCCCCCTCTGGAGCCTGTCTTGGGGCGATCTCGGGGCCCTCCTCTAAGGCCGTCTTTGAGGCCTTCTGGGCCGTCTTGAAGCCCTCTGGGGCCGTTCTGAAGCCCGCTTGGGGGCCTCTTGGGCAGTCTTGGGGCGATCTTGGAGGCCTATCAGGCCGTCTTTGAGCGTCGGGAAGCCTTAAAGGCGAGAGTGCTAAAATCAGTAGAAGACCTAATTGAAATGATGCATTTTGCCTTTTGGGGCCCTCTGGGAAGTTCTCTTGGATGGCTATTGTGCCGTCTGGAGGCCACCTTGGGCGTCTTGGAGCGATCTTGTGGTGTCCCGGACGCTTTTGTCGGCCCGACCCCCAGGGGCGGCCCGCGCGCGCCAAATAGAACATTTTGAACCAGTCACAGGAGATCTTAGCACACCTCTGGCCAGTTGGGCTGGCGAATTTTCATGTTCTCCCTTGTCTTCGTTCAGGGCGCTTCGATGCACTTGGAAGACTCCGACGAACGTCGAATGCAGGGTATCATCCACGAAGGCGAATGGAACCACCAGTTCCTAATCGAAAGGTTTGGTTCCATGGGCGCTTCTATCCTCAGCCTTTTCGCTGCCATCACTGGAGGAAACGACTGACTCGAAACGTACAAGGCCATCGAACTGGCTGGATCGTTGTATTCGTATCTGTTCCTCGGTTTCATCGGGTTCTGTCAAATTAGTTTGCTCAATATCTTGACTGGCATATTCGTCGAGAACGCATTATTTCAGACACTGCCGACAAAAGAGCAAATTGCAGTGCAGAAGCACAACGAGGAACTTGCTATGACAAAAGAACTTCACAGGCTTATCAGTAGCTTCGATGAAGAGCTTTCTGGGCGAGTTTGTCTAGACCGATTCTTCTCTGGAATAGTCGGCAGCCCTCTCCACACCTACTTGAATTCAATCGACGTCAGCGTGAAGGAGCTCAAAGAGTTTGTGGAATTTGTTGGCGCAAATAAGCGGGGGACAATCAGCGTGACTTCGCTCATCCGCGGATGCACCTTGGCACGAGGCAGCGCCCGCAATTTAGACTTGCAGCGCGTCGTTTTCGATGTGAGGCGCCTCAGACGTGGCCAGGAGTTGATAGTCCAAGCGTTGAGTGGTAAGACTGAGTTGAACCCCGACAACACTGATGTTCCTTCAAATCCAGAAACTCCGAGATCATCGTTTTCGGATGACTCTCGCTGAACGTCATAGAATGTTCTGCACTGAAGCACTGCGCGCCGGCAAGCGGTTGCAGGGGTGGGCTGAACAGATCCGCATCGGTTCACGTGCAGGCGCGTTGAAACCGCGAATGTGTTTCAGGGCCTGTTGTTTGACATATGTACGTATATGCAGCAGCGCCATTTTGTCATAGCATCGGCTCCTGTGAGCTGCGCATCCGAGAAAGGCCTGCCACATCGGGCAGGTTTTTTAGCAAAGCGGTCTGGGACGGCATCGGAAACCAGGATCACAGGAGAGCCTTTGGGGTCGGCTTTTGAAGTTGGGCGTTGTACCCGCCGAGCTTCTCCGCCGACTTTGCCTCCTCCACCTCGATCCGTTTTCCTTCTGACCTCGCCACTGCTACTGCTCACCCGGCCTCCCTGTGCGGCGGTGGACTGCCGAAGCAATCAGATTTGATCGCTGGCGGCCACATCGAGGAATGTTCGCTCGAGAGGTTAGGTTGCTGAGCGTGCCTAGCGCTCCTCGTCGCCACGGCTGGGCTCGCCTCGCACTGCCGCTCATGCCGCGCTCCAGGGCACGTCCCAAGGTGTCTTCGGACGATTCTCGGCGAAGTCCAGAGTTCCAAAAGCAGCGCTCCAAGACGAGTCTGGGGTTCGATGTCGAGGTTCACGCGGAGATATGTTGAAATCATTTCGCGAAGTGCACGGCACATCCGCACAGCAACGATATGGCAACGATACGAATACAAAGTTGCTTCCACAGGAATTGCCGCCGTCGCGCAGGCCGTTGTTGAGGCCCAGGGCCCAGGGGTGCGGCCTGCTCAGAAGGCATCAGAAGGCAAGAGGCTTCTCTGTTGGAGGCCCGTCTTGGTCGAGAGGTCGCAGGACGGCCGCTCAGAAGCAGGCATAGAGGAGAACGTTGGAACGCGGGCTGCCCTCTTGCAATTGCCTGCGATTCTGTTCACGGCGTGGGCCTCCAGAGGTCTGGACCCCTTCCGAGGGACCGGCTGCTCGTCCAGAGCTGCCGGTCGACTGTCCTCTGCCGGTCGTGTCCTGGGGCCCAGCAGCGAGGCCGACGTGTGCGAAGGAACCCGCCTGGCTGTATTCTCCACTTCCGAAGAAGAAACAACGACATAGACATGTATGTGCGGCGCTCCACGCGGATTGCTTGGATCTGCGCTGGCCTCCCCCGCGGCGCCTCCGGCGCTGCCCCTGGCGCGCCGGAGGCGCGCCAGGGAGGGGGATCAAGCGCAGATCCAAGAAATCCGCGCGTAGCGCCAACAGTTTATGTTGATGCCGTTTTTTCTTCTTCTAACATTCGATGGCATGGTGCCCGTCTCTCTGTGCGCCGCCGAAGGTCCACACGGTCGAAATGGGTACGGAAAGAAACGGGACGAAGACCATCGGGCGTTGCGCTATGGGGGGGCGATAAATGGGGGAGTGACGAGAGAGCACCTTTCGTGTGCGTTAGGGGCCCTGGGGTACGAAAGCTGTACTTTTCGTCGCCTCGCCATTCATCGCCACCCCCTTCAGCAACGCCCACGACCAGAACCAGTCCCTCTTGTTTTTGAACAGGACTCGTCGTCGGCTTCGCCGCCGACGTTGCCCACTCCAGTCAGAACGTCGCTTGCTCAACAGCGGTTGCTGTCAGTATTGGACGACGTTTGCTGTATGGCATCGTGCCACCTGTTTCCGTGCTCCTTCCGAGCGTACCAACCAGAGGTCGGCGGCGCGCCTGGCGGTGGGGGGGGAAGAGGGCTCGGGCTTTCTCAGAATGCGGCGGGGCTTCTCAGAATCCCCCCGGCCTTCTGAGAATTGTTCTGTGCCTTCGGGGAAGCTCCCGAAACGTGTCAGAAGGCCGGAGGCCTTCCGATCCTTCTGAGAATGAGAGTGATGGGCCTGTTTTCCACCACCACCACCACATAAGTTGGAGGGGGGAAGGAGGAGGAGGAGGAGGACGAGGAGGGAGGAGGAGGAGAAGGAGGAGGAGGAGGAGGAGGAGGAGGAGGAGGACCCCCTCCCCCTCCAACTTCTGGTGGTGGTGGTGGTGGAAAAACAGGCCCACCAGAGAGGGCTCGACCTCTCTCGGCCGCCTGGCGGCTCCTGGGGGCACAGCTCGGCCCTCGGGCCTCCTCCTCCTCCTCCTCCTCCTCCTCCTCCTCCTCCTCCAGAGCACCCCGAGACTGGACAACGCCGAGAGCCCACGAAGTCGCCCCGACATTTCGAAAAGCTCGAGCTTGGCGAGACTCTGCCCCCCAGGGCGCGCCGCCGAAGAGGGCCGAGGTGGGGACGGGGGGGGGCGACCGTCAAGTCGGGCGTGTCCTTCTTCAGGAGGAACATATAAACATAGTTCTTTGGGGAAACATAGTCTGGGGACGATTTGTTGGGTCTTGTGTGGTGTATTGTTGTACTACTTGTAACGTTCGCGCAAGAATCGCCTGTAGGGGGACATGCCCGACCTCCAGGCGACCGGTCCCCGCGCCCGCGTCGCGCCGCCGAGGCCCCTGGGGGCGGCGGCGGCGGCCCGGCGCAGCAGCCCGCGGGACCCGACGGCTGCAGGGCGCCGCGGGCGCCGGAGGCGGCGGCAGCTCTGCGGTCCTCTGGCCGCCCTGCGAGTCCTCCTCCTCCTCCTCCTCCTCCTCCTCCTCCTCCTCCTCCTCCTCCTCCTCCTCCTCCTCCCCCATCCCCCTCCTCCTCCCCCTCCTAACTCCTCCTCTTAGCCCCCCTTCTGGGACATCCGGGCGGCGAAAAGTCACGGCGGGAAGCGTTTAAAGTTTGATTGTTTTGGAAGTTGCGCCGCATCCTGCACGCTAACCGTTCGTTGGTTCAGGCCAGGAGCTCCCGAAGTGGGTCTCGAGAAGGTTGGTGCCGCCAAGCTGGCCACAGAGCTTGTGTCGGTCGGGTAGTTGCGGTGGGTCGGGATCTCGCCCCCCCTTCCCCCCACTGGACGCTGCGAACCTAGACGCTGTTTTGCTGGACTTCGGCTGTGTTTTGTTATTCGTTTTGGCAGGGAGCTACAGGAAAGCGGGCAGAGCAGAACGAAGAACAAAACGAACACAACACGAAAAGCAACGTTTAGGTCCTGCCCTGCCCCAGACAGACCCCCTCGCGTGGTGATAAAGTCACGGCGGGAGGCGTTTCGCCATTTTTGGGCTCCTGGGGCCCCTCCCGGGCTTCGGGAGCGTCACAACACGACTCAGGATGAACAACCGGTCCCCCAGGGAGGCGTCCAGACTCTGGGGGTCACGTCGTTTCTGAGTCTGTCGGGGACGGCCAGGAGGGGGGTGATGACTGGGGGGGGGAATTTTGGCAGGGGCCATGAGATCTCCCCGGGTATCATGGCGCCTCTTCTTGTTTCAATGCGTCCCCGGACCCTTCCTGGGCCGCGCACATGCCGTCGGCCATGATTTGCGCACCGCCCTCTTGGACGGCCCCCACTTTGACGCTCCCGAGTCTGCAGTAGCAAGTCATGGGAGTCTATGCCGCCGAGATGGGTTCGGAGCGGGTGGGGTCGGAGGATCGCGCCGCATCGCCGATGCATCGCTGCGGCTCGATGTGGGGCCCAATTTTCTTCACGACAGCGTCGCCGATGCGTGGCCGACGTCGCCAGTGCATCGCCGATGCATCGCCGATGCATCGGCGATGCGGCGCCATCCTCCGACCCCAACGACTCGGACCCCATCTGGGAGGCCTCTAGGGTCTGCGGTGGCAAATCATGGGAGCCGCGTGTGCCTTCGCACTTCCTTCTTTGGATTGCATTCGTGTGATTGGCGTCTGGTAGTCGGTGTGACAGTGCGGATTTTGCGTTGATTAAGCGTCGGTTAGCGTCGGTTCGCATCGGTTCGCGAGAGCCAACAAGATGGCATGGGAGGATCCCGCGAGTTGCCGCAGAACGAGTTGGCGGCTCGCCGAGGGAGAAGCGAGCGGAGGCGAGCCTTCTCTCTGAAGGCGGCGGTGCCTTTCGGAAGCCCGCCGGCCTTCCGAGAGACCCTCCGTGTCTCAGGAGGGGCAAAACACACAGACACAATTAATCGTCGATTCCCATGGACATATGGAAGACAAAAAACTCAAAACATATGGGAAAATAGGGGGAATCCCGTTGTTTGTGTGTGTATTCATTTGTGTGACCTGGGGCCCCTTCCGTGCCTTCGGAGAAGGCTTGGGAAGCTTCTCGGAAGGCGGAGGCCTTCCGAGCATGCCGAGGAGGCCCGCGCTGCCTGCCTCCGGGACGCGCGGCCGATTCGGGGCCGGGGGTCAAGTCGGGCTTGCCCCTCTCCCAGGGGGGGGGGGGGGGGGGGGGGGGGGAAACTCACACAGACACAATGAATCGTCGACTCCCAAGGAAATATGGGAAGATGTGGGAGGTGGGGGGGAAGACAAACACCCAGAACATATGGGAAATTATGGGGAATCCGGTTATTTGTGTCTACTTATTTGTGTGTGTCCCAGGGCCCCTTCACTTCTACAGGCGGAGTATTCAAACACAGTCGATAAATGTTCTGGGGACGATTTTTTGAATAATTTTTTAACCATTTTGGATTATGTTTTACTTGTTTTTTTCGCTTTTCGTCCAAAATCCCCCTCTGGGGGACAGGCCCGACCTCCTAGGGGGGAGGGGGGGGCTCAGGACCATCAACCGACGAGAAAGCGTCCAGGTCTCCTGGATGGGGGGGGTCCGAGTTGATGTGGTCAGGGGATTTCGCAGCATCATCGATGCATCGGCGGCGCGGATCGACGTGGAGCCCGGTTTTTGTCCATTCGGACGTCGCCGATGCATGGTACATGCATTATTGATACATTGCCGATGCGGTGCGATCCTCCGATCCCATCTGTTCGGACTCCATTTGAATGTCCAGAAAAACGGGATCGTATTCGCTGACATTGGCGCGTAAGTTGCCCGCGTCAGGTTGCGCGTAAGCGCCCTCGCTTCCTGCGTAGCGTACCGCGCCACCGCGTAAGGTCGTTGTGCCATCTCGCATAAGACCCGTCGCTCAAATGGCCGTCGCTCAAATGGCCCCGTCTTGAGTCCTTGGAGTCGAGCATGGCAGGTACCGCGCCGCACGGGCCCACACTCGGACATCGTCGCGCTGTGGAAGATGACGGACTGTGTGTTGCAATGTTTGGTGTCTGGGTGCCCCCATTGGGCCGCGGGACCGTCATAAAGCTGCTCGGGATGGGACGCCGGTCCCCAGGAAGGAGTTGAAACCCCAAGGGGGAGCCATACAGTTGGGGCCTATGCCAAGAACTACCCTGCTTGCCTCCAGGGTGCCCTAGGTTTGTTGGGTTTTGATGGTTTTGCGATGGACAGCATGACCTCCCCACACCAAACATCAGTGGACGTCCTGGGGCCCCAGGGGTGGGTTTCTTGTGGAAGGTTTCTTGTGGACTGGCCTCCACATGACTGTATGTTTTTGTTGGCCCGTTCCGTTTATCGACGGCCCCGAGGCGTGAGATCGGCCCCCAGAGGCCAAACATGGCGACACCTCGGCCGCCTCGATGTGCTCCAGGCGGCGTGTCCGTCTACAGGAGGAACATTCAAAAATAGTCAAACAATAGTCTGGGGAAGATGTTTTCGACTATGAGCATTGTTTGAATATTCTTTGATTGTGTTTCCTTTTTCGTCCGAAATCCGCCAGTAAGAGGACATGCCCGACCTAACGCCAGACCTTTGGACCACGCCAGGTGGAAACGCTCAAACTCCCCGGATGATTGCCCAGCCTGGCTTCGTCTGCGGCGGGGGCGATCGTCGGTCTGGGTGCTCCTGGGCCCCACCCGGTACGGCAGGGCGGCCAGACGCCCGCGGTGGCAGACGAGCGGCGGCCAGGGGAAGACGCCGCGGGCCCGCACCCGCCCGTGGCAGCTTGCCGGGGACAGGCGCGCCTCGTCACGCGAGAGGTGGTGCAGGACGCCGTGGGGCCAGCGCTAGGTCGGGCATTTACCCCTGCAGGTGGATCTTGGACGAAAAATCAAGAATGCCCCAGAACATAGTCAAACATAGTCCAGACAATCAAAAAACAACTCAGTACGACAAACCCGCCCAGGAGAATAGGTCGAAACCTCTGGGGGTCGACGTCATAAAAACATCTTGAAGTCGGGGGTCCGGAAAAGACCCGAAAAGTAATCAAACATTGCCAAAAACTAATCGAACAAACGTCCCCAGACTATTGTTACCTAACAGCGAGGACTGATAGGTTTCTAGTAGGGTCAAAAGAGAGCATCATGACGCCCCAGGGGGGTCTGGGCGGGATCCGGGGAGATGCCGGGGAGTCTTTTTTTAGACAACTGTTACACATTTCGTGGTCTTCGAGGTCCCAGAACTCCATTCCCGGGCCACATTCTGAATGCCCGGAGCCAATTGTAGGCCACTTCGTGCTCTTCGAGTTCCCAGATTTCCATTTCCGGGCCACATTTTTTGAGTGCCCAGAGCCAATTGTAGGACCCTTCGTGCTCTTCGAGTTCCCAGACCTCCGTTCCCGGGCATGATTTTGAATGCCCGGAGCCAACTGTAGGCCACTTCGTGGTCTTCGAGTTCCCAGAACTCCACTCCTGGGCATGATTTTGAATGCCCGGAGCCAACTGTAGGCCACTTCGTGTTCTTGGAGTTCCCAGAATTCCATTCCGGGGCAACATTTTGAATGTTGAGGCAGGCTGATGCTGAGGCTGAGGCAGGCTGAGGCTGAGGCAGGCTGAGGCTGAGGCCGAGGCTGAAGGCAGACTGAGGCTGAGGCTGAAGCAGCCTGAGGCTGAGGCTGAGGCTGAGGCAGGCTGAGGCTGAGGCTGAGGCAGGCTGATGCTGAGACAGGCTGAGGCTGAGGCTGAGGCTGATGCAGGCTGAGGCTGAGGCAGGCTGAGGCTGAGGCCGAGGCTGAAGGCAGACTGAGGCTGAGGCTGAAGCAGGCTGAGGCTGAGGCTGAGGCTGAGGCAGGCTGAGGCTGAGGCTGAGGCAGGCTGATGCTGAGGCAGGCTGAGGCTGAGGCTGAGGCTGATGCAGGCTGAGGCTGAGGCAGGCTGAGGCTGAGGCCGAGGCTGAAGGCAGACTGAGGCTGAGGCTGAAGCAGCTGAGGCTGAGGCTGAGGCAGGCTGAGGCTGAGGCTGAGGCAGGCTGATGCTGAGGCAGGCTGAGGCTGAGGCTGAGGCTGATGCAGGCTGAGGCTGAGGCAGGCTGAGGCTGAGGCCGAGGCTGAAGGCAGACTGAGGCAGAGGCTGAAGCAGGCTGAGGCTGAGGCTGAGGCAGGCTGAGGCTGAGGCTGAGGCAGGCTGATGCTGAGGCAGGCTGAGGCTGAGGCTGAGGCTGATGCAGGCTGAGGCTGAGGCAGGCTGAGGCTGAGGCCGAGGCTGAAGGCAGACTGAGGCTGAGGCTGAAGCAGGCTGAGGCTGAGGCAGGCAGGCTGAGGCTGAGGCAGGCTGATGCTGAGGCAGGCTGAGGCTGAGGCTGAGGCTGATGCAGGCTGAGGCTGAGGCAGGCTGAGGCTGAGGCCTGAGGCTGAGGCTGAAGGCTGAGGCTGAGGCAGGCTGAGGCTGAGGCCGAGGCTGAAGGCAGGCTGAGGCTGATGCTGAGGCTGAGGCTGAGGCTGAGGCAGGCTGAGGCTGAGGCTGAGCTGAGGCTGAGGCTGAGGCCGAGGCTGAAGGCAGACTGAGGCTGAGGCTGAAGCAGGCTGAGGCTGAGGCTGAGGCAGGCTGAGGCTGAGGCTGAGGCAGGCTGAGCTGAGGCAGGCTGAGGCTGAGGCTGAGGCTGCAGGCTGAGGCTGAGGCAGGCTGAGGCTGAGGCCGAGGCTGAAGGCAGACTGAGGCTGAGGCTGAAGCAGGCTGAGGCTGAGGCTGAGGCAGGCTGAGGCTGAGGCTGAGGCAGGCTGAGGCTGAGGCTGAGGCTGAGGCTGAGGCAGGCTGAGGCTGAGGCTGAGCTGCAGGAGGCTGAGGCTGAGGCTGAGGCAGGCTGATGAGGCTGAGGCTGAGGCTGAGGCAGGCTGAGGCTGAGGCTGAGGCTGAGCAGGCTGAGGCTGAGGCTGAGGCAGGCTGAGGCTGAGGCTGAGGCAGGCTGATGCTGAGGCAGGCTGAGGCTGAGGCTGAGGCTGATGCAGGCTGAGGCTGAGGCAGGCTGAGGCTGAGGCCGAGGCTGACGGCAGACTGAGGCTGAGGCTGAAGCAGGCTGAGGCTGAGGCAGAGGCAGTCTGAGGCTGAGGCTGAGGCAGGCTGATGCTGAGGCAGGCTGAGGCTGAGGCTGAGGCTGATGCAGGCTGAGGCTGAGGCAGGCTGAGGCTGAGGCCGAGGCTGAAGGCAGACTGATGCTGAGGCTGAAGCAGGCTGAGGCTGAGGCAGGCTGAGGCTGAGGCAGGCTGAGGCTGAGGCAGGCTGAGGCTGAGGCTGTGACTGCGACTGCCGTTGCCCCAGCGACTGTCATTGCGAAGGGAATGCTTCCAGATATGCTCCTACACATCGCTGTTAGGCTGATTTGCTGGGATAATTGTTTAAACAACGTTTGAATGTTCCTCCTGTAGAGGGACATGCCCGACTTAAGGCCAGCCAACGACCTCACTCGGAGCATGGCCAGC